ACACAGTAACACCGCCAAGGTCGGACGCTTGGTTCAGTATGTTTACATTCCAGGAGAAGAGACAGAAGAACAGAAGAAGAACGCTTTTGATGGAGTAATCAAAGTACTTTATTTGTGATAAGCTAATCAAAGCATTTGTTGATCATTAATAATCAAGTGAATGATCTGTGAAATAAAGATGTCATGAGTTATGTGTTTCAATGAATAAACAGGGCTGCCCAGACACACTGATATGCATTACCATGGAAACGCATGACACATTGTTTTCAACCAATCGGAACTTTCGTCTGTGGTAGGGCAGAATCTGCTTTGTTTATGAAAGTAGTCCAATCCGGTTTACTCAGATTCTCAAACAACTGGGAGATATAAAAGAAGGCAACGCCATTTTAAGTCAGTTCCACGTTACGTCCGACTTTCAGCAGTTACGTATTAAACTCAGCTCCCGGACATCCGAATTCCTAAGGATTTCCATCGTCATCATTAAGAAGTTCAGACTGGCCAGCTGGACTTCCTACTTTGAGCTGAAATCTGTCAAGCTTGAGATTTTCCGTCGTTCACCTCAGTCAACGAGACGACAGTCCTTCAAAATAAGAGTAAACTTGTTGATGCTTGCCGATGTACCTGAGTCAACCCTTCAGACGGGCGTTGTTTGCTGTGACCGCTGTTTCAACCAGCTCCAGTATCGCTGAAGGTCCGAGACCTGGCAATTCCTGATCTAACACGGGAGGCTCCAGCTCCAGTATCGCTGAAGGTCCGAGACCTGGCAATTCCTGATCTAACACCGGAGGCTCTTACTGGGTACGTAAATAAGGCAAATGGCGGCTCATGTCATCAGCTTCTGAAGCCTCGTGGTAGCCTAGTCATAACAAACCAGATCCGCTACTCAGCCTAGAGATTCTGAACAAAACACACACACACACCAAACCGAACCATCTACATCCATATGCATCCATCATTGAGATAGTCCTGGTAGATTGTAAGAATTTATAATTATAGAAATTAAAGATTCTTAAACTATCCCAACTTTCTCTCTTTCTTGTCTCTCAGTCAATACAAAGTGTTTAAACTCCCTGATGATAAAAACAGCCTCTTCTGATTGATTACTTAGATTGTATAAATATACAAAATCAGGTAATTAAATTATTTAATTACAGTATATAAATATACAAACTTCAAATCACAACACCTGTAAGGCTTGTTACCAGCATTCAGACATCAATTCTGTTTGCTTTACAACCAGACAGGACACGGTAAAAAAAAAAAAAGGTTCTTGCAATAGTTTGTGTATGTGTATGTGCGTGCGTGTGTGTGTGTGCTTGCGTGCGTGTGTGTGTGTGTGTGTGTGCGTGCGTGTGTGTGTGTATGTATGTGTTTGGGGGAGGGTACATTGGAACTTTGTCCCCCCAGTTTGAAAATCCTATCTGCACCCCTGATCTCCTGCATTAACTTCTGATAGAAAATAGATGGGGAAACTCTAGGATTAGAAAATCCTGACAGATCTACATCACAGTCACTTAACGTTCATGAACTCACCCATCTTGACTCTCGATGGGAAAGGCTGTTGTTGGTTTAGCGTCCTGGAAACCACAGAGAACGTCTCAGCTAGTAGAAGCTAACTGTTAGCATTAGCAATTTCACCACACAGCAAAACTCCTTAAGTCACACTGGGGCTTCTTTTTTTGCCCCCCAGAGTACAACTTACAAGGCATTAAATCCTACTAAAGACCACAGAAAATGTTTTAAAAATATGAGTAAAGTTGACATTTAAACATATCATTTATCAGCATCGTCACTGTAACGTGTTGGAAATTTTTTCAAACGTTACCTTAAAAATATGGCAAAAGTGAAGACCCCAAACTAGCAGCAGCCTGCAGTCAGATCATAAAAATTATCCAGGGTATGAACACATATGAAGCAAAAAGTTACAGGATGGGAATCAACAAGCAAACCCTCAAATATATTTAGTGTTTTGTCTTCCTCCCCTTCTGCCTTCCCTACTGATCATGTTTATCTTCCTCTCATCCGGCGCTCTCGCTTCACCCCTCTTTGATCTCCTCTCCTCCCGTCATCCACCAACACTTTTCCCCTTCTGCTCCAACTTGCACATCCATCCGTGTTCTTGTGTGCGTGCGTGCGTGCGTGCGTGCGTGCGTGTGTATGTGTGTGTGTGTGTTTACGAATCGAGCCAGTCAATAAAGAGTTTAGTATCAGACAAAAAGCTCTGACTGTAGTCTGCAAGCAGGAATGTTTTCAGACAAATCTGCAGTAAATTGTTGGCTCCACCAGGGGCTGCCGTAGCAGGTGGATGAAGACGAGAAACGTGTGAATCCCACTCAGAAATCTACTGATGGAACATGGAAACAAAGAGCCCCACTTTTTCTCTTCCTTCTTTTCCTTTTTTATCTCATCACACAAAGACAAAAGGTGTAATTTCTCAGCTCGGTAACGCTTAACCTGAAAGAGTGAAACATTTGTGTTTACCATGATAGTTTTACAGCATCTGTTGGGCTCCGTACAACAACACGTTACCTTCTGTTTTGCAAACGACCAGGCGTGGGAGTGGGCCAGGTAATTAAGCATAGTCTCTAAGACAAGATTCTACCTCTTATTTATTTCTTCTTAGATAAAAACCTTAAAGAAACACATCTTAGTGCAAATTTTCCCTCCAAAACTCTGATGTCTGTTCATTTCCAGAAGAAAGTCACATAAAGCAGTCTGATCCACATGCTCTACTTCCTCAGATGGACCTCTTACACCTCATGAATTGCTGATGCATTGGAGGTTTAACAGACCCAGCTCCAGGTTTCCAGTTATAATACCTTTCAAATGCTGATCTGGGATGCCCTTGCCACAACAGAACCTGCAAAGGCTGAAAAAGCCTCGGGACAGAGTGGGCTGCATGAGACACTAACAGCGAGGAGAATAAAGCTCTGCTGGATAACTGCCTGGCTTTCTCTCTCCAGCACTTCACCCTGGCTCACACACCTCCCTCAACCCACCCTCCCCCTGTCTCCTTCACCTTTTTCCTCCTCCTTAGCACCGGCAAATGAAGTGTCCTCGCTCTCGGCTCTGATCCTGAGAACCTCTGACAGCCAAAGCCTTCCTGCTCTCTGAAGTAAACCCTGGCAGCAATGGGCTGGTTTACGGCTTCCGTCTTCAGCCTCCAAGCTGCGAGGGCATGGACACGGGAGAGATGAAGACGGTGTGACTGCAGCTGAATAGAGAGATGGGGGAATAAGAGGAAAAAGAAAAGGCTGCTTGACCTTACCTTATGTGAGAAATCTTGGGGCGGCTACAAAACGGCAAAAAAAAAAAAAAAAGAGAGAGAGAAAAAGAAAGGAAAAGTAGGAAATTGCACTTCTGGCCGAAATGCAAGTGAATAAAATTGCCAAAAATGACCTGAGCTGAAACTTCATGTTAAGGATTTGACATTAATTTCAAAGTGCAGCAAAATTTGCAGGATAAGTAGAATTTTTATTTTTAATTTCTAATATTTTAACACAAAATGACACCAAATGCTTCTCTAGAACTAATAACATTATGATATAAAATTGCTTAGATAGCTTAAAATGAGAGACACTGTAGACATTCCACCTTAAAAATAAAACAGTTCCTGCTACTGTGAATTGTCCCATTTTAGACAAAGGTATCTGTGGGAAGTTCTGGAATATGATGCATATTCAGGTTTTGAATCCATAACGCCGTAAAGAGTAAACAGTAGATATTTTATTGATGATATTTTAATGAGTTTGAGGCAGGCACAGTTGGCATGAATTCACAGCTGCTTGTTGTCTTATGGTTTACATACATTTCTTGGTATCTAGCAGCACAATGAGCAAAGCAGCTTCAGGTCTGGCCTTAGAAACTGAGCTGTGGAACAAATATTTACCCCCTACTGATTATTTTGCTGTTTTTGCTTTTTATTTACCTAGATTTTTAACCAACACTGATAGACGCATGCACATCACACCTATTCTCGCAGATTTACACTGGCTCCCAGTCAAATTTAGGATTCATTTCAAGGTCTTGTTATATGTATACAAGGCTTTGTATTGCCCATCCCCATCCTATCTGACGGACCTGCTGACTCCGTGAGTTCCCACTCGTGCCCTTCGTTCTGCAGATCATCTGCTGCTTGTTCCGAAGGTTCGGTACAAATCACGGGAGGAGCGTGCCTTCTCTCATGCAGCCCCAAAACTCTGGAACACTCTGCCCCTCCATGTGCTTTTGGCTCCCTCTGTCAGCAGATTCAAGTCGGCCCTGTAGGGTTAACTACATACTAGAATCAACACTGTTTGCTATCAGTTGTTAGATTCCGAGAATGACCGAGCATATTAGCATATGAGCTTATATCATGTATAAATATCCAATATACTTATATAGTCAATAGAAGCTCATACACCAATTCCCTTGGTCTATTTTTAATCCAAAGATTAATGTTTAATTTAAGATAATTAAATTTAATAGCAAAAGTTTATTTTGAATCAGAAGCTAGGAATCTTTGCTTTTCAATAACCAGAAATATTATACCTTTCTGTGTTTCAATTCAAGAATGAGGCAAGTTTAAAAATGAAGAATTTTATTACTAACAATTTTTAAACTTTAAGATTTGAACGACAATTATAAATGACAATTTTTAACAGCTTTGATATTAAACTTGTTTTAAAAGGCAAACCTGTGGCTGGATGAAAGCTAAAATGGAAATACGAGTTTGGATGCGTGAATGGAATTCTCAGAAGGTTTCTTTCAGAGAGGAAAGCATTCTGGCTGGAAATGATGTTTTGCAGCTCCCTAAGTTGTTTACTTAGAGAACAGCATCAAACACAATCTGTCCGTCGAAGTCTACCTCACCAAATCAGAGGTTTCCTCCAGGCACGAGGTTGGTAGAAAAACCTCTGGCACGACCAAATCGGTCCTGAGATGTCTCCTTGGGTCACTCGACTGGTGGAACTATTTGCGTCTCCAAGTCCATACTCTGAAGGAGTTTCTCGTCTTAACCATAGACTGTACATACTGGACAAACGGATTCCATTGGCTTCAATAACACGTTTGTTGTCTATAATGGGAGGTGGCCACCACCGCCATTTTGACCGTGTCACAGGTTCCGTCCAGCCCAGACAATTCCATAAAAGGGAAGAGAGGAGGCGCTGAGGGTGTGGCTGTAAGGCTGGGCTCGAGTGACGACACCCAGGTGAACTAGCTACGAGCTAACCTGAAGCTAACCCTGGCTAACCCAAAGCTAAAGCGGAGGTGGGAGCCGAGCTAACGGATGTAGCCACCTAGCTTCAACCCAACCGGAGCTAACTGGAACACCCATCGACCTGAACCTCACACGGAGTTTAGGTGGAGGTTTTCTGCGCCTGTTCGTGAGAAGTACCTGTATTAAAAAAGTTTTAAATCGGTAAGTTTATAATTTATTTCCGTAATGAATACATTTTGCTTTGAGCAAGTTTTCAGTACAGTTTTTTTCGGCGCTATCACTCCTGAGTCGCACCAGCCATTAAATGTATCATGAAGAAGAGAAAATATATTTGAGTCGTATTTTGGGGGGACATTTTATTATCTTTCTTACAAAATCTGAGACCAAGCGTTTCACATTGCAACACAAGCACCGGTAACCATAACAGAATGAACAGCCAGCAGAGGAGAGGATGGCGGTGTTTCAAACCCTCCCGGCCGGCGTGTAGAGCTCATTCCTGGGCTGGAGCCGGCCCTCAGCACCCCGCCACAGGCTCTAACAGATGCTGGCGGTGTTTCATATATTTCCAAAACGTAATACTTGTTTGTATCTTGTACAGCCAACTAGCCTTTATTCTGGACTCAGTACAATTTACCAAAAGTAAAGAGACATTATACAGATGAAGTAAGCACAAGATAACTTACTGGAAGCCACAGAGTTATCATCAGAACCAGAACAAGAGAGCCTGATAACAGTCATGTGAAAATAACAGTTAAAAAGTATGTATGTATAATAGAAATAAAAATATATTAGAATTAGTGTAACTCACTGTGATCCAAACAAATCAGCCATAGCTGATTAGTAAATATGACATGAGGTCTGGGAGTTTTTAAGTTTCATTCTTTTATTACATTTTTTTCTTAGATCTATTAAAAGGTCACCATGGCAGCCTGTGTGTCAACGTCAGCTACACAAAGCAGCAAGTGTAAGTACCAAGTACTTGTTTTGACCACTTCATGAATGGTTTTGTACTTTAAACAGCTAGGCCAAACCTGTTATTTTTTCCTCCATAGCCATTTGGATCATTGGAGACAGCTGAGTGAGGCGTGGTGCCCAGAGAGCTGCAGAGACAACCTTGGCCTCCCTGACGTCTGTGTCTCTTGGTTTGGTTGGGGCGGACCATCGACATACATACATGTGCCGACACTTTGCGCCCTGTTTTATAAACTGTAGTGTTAAAAATAAATGTTTTTGCTCAATTACTGGAATTTCTTTGGTTAAGACAAAAGTGAGGAATAATCATTTACAAGTTATTTGTACAACAGGCCCATTTTAAATCCCAACAGTTTCTTAGCAGACAATAGAAATGTGTTCTTTACTAACTTTACTTGGTTTGAAAATCTTACTAAAATAAACTTGAGTGCCGTATTGCAAAACCCAATCATACTTGTTATGTAAACATTAGCTTTGTAGATATTTTTTACAGATATATATTTGTGTGCAACAAAAACCAAACTTAAATAATTTATCATTCTTTATTGAAAAACAACAAAATACAGGTATACAGAAGTGTGGGAAAATGATAATGTGAAAGTATTGCACTATAAATGAAGTGAGATGAGATGAAGGTGAGATGAAGGTGGACGCCAGCGGGCTGGACGCCGGACGAAGAAACCTGGAGACGGATCACTCAGACAGGAAGGGAAGAGCTTCCTCTTACCTTGATGGAATTAAAGTTAGCCGTCGTCTGAACGCCCAACCGTACGGTCTGAGGTCAAAGGTCACAGGAAACACACACCAGTCAGCAGTCATACAGATGCATAAAGATAACTGTAGCCATGGCAACCAGCTGACATGTCCCCACTTTCACCAGCACCTGGTGCCTGCCGGGTCACCTGAATTCCTGTGTGATGTCAGCACGGTCGGCCGTGACTGCTGCCATCAGAGGTGACCTCTGATCAGCTGAATGAACTCACCTTCCAGGGTGACGCCGTGTTAGAGTCGGCTTCATCCTGTAAACAAACAAACAAACAAATGAGTGGTAACATAAACACCACGTCTGGTTCTGGTGGAGGCGGAGGACAACATGCACCTTTCCAGGAGCAGAACCCAGATGTTCTTGTTGCTACAAACAGACGAGCAGAGTTAAACCAGGAAGTGAGAGGGACCAGCTGCTGCAGACAGGTGACGCTCACCTGAGCCTGAACCATAGGAGCCTCCTCAGCCATCAGACCTTCTGACTCCAGTTCAGATGCCACCTTGTTGATGTCCCTCAGGCGGGACTCGTTGGCCTTCAGGTCCTGCAGGACAAAAGCACCTGCTGATTACCTTGTTGCGTTCGGGTTAACAGGTCTGGTGTTAGAACGTGGTGGATAAGAATGTTCTGATGGGCCGAGGGTTCTGAACTCACCCTGCAGGACTGGGCCTGCTCCTTCAGGGCCTGGATGCTGCTGCCGTAAGCCGACAGGTCCGACATCAGGGCCTCGTGCTTCTTCAGGAGAGCCTGTGGAGCAGAACATCAGAACCTTCAGCTCGTCTGACACAAGTGGAGCTTTCTCGCAGCGATGGTCCAATCGGATCCGCCACCGTAAAACAAACCCTGCTCAGTTCACCGCAGACGTAGCTCTGCGGGTGTTTAGTGGAAAAGCATGAGCCTTCTGCCGGCTGCCACGTGTCATGGCTGCTCTGCAGTGGGAACACACATCACAGCTTGTAAACCGTTTGAAATAAGAGCGACGGGAACACGTTTGTCATCACTTCCTGTGCGAGGCCAGCACTTCTACCCCTAACCCATGAGAAGCTCAAACGAGCAACGACGTCTGGTAGACAACCGAAGGAAATGACAAATACAGAAACACTAATTATGAAGGACTGGAAAGAGAGCAAAGAAAAGCGATTGGAGTTTCTCAGGAAGGGACTTCCATACCTCGGCCAAGTCCTCGTCTTTCCCTTAGTCTGGACTTCCAACGATGGGCTCCTTCTCCCTCATCCAGGACTCGGCCTCATTAGCATCCGCAAAGTACTGCTGGGCCTGCAGAGAGTCCTCCAGGTCCTGCCTCCTCTGGGACGCCTTGGCCTTCAGCGTGTCCCAATGTCCATGAAGCTCCCACAGTTTAGTCTTCACTTCCTCACCAGCGAAGTGACCTGGACCCAAAAAAAGTGAGCCAGAACCTGCAGACACCTCAGAAACATGTCAGGACCAGACCTGCTCTACCTTCTTCCACCATGGTCTCTCCTTTCTGGGTGACAGCCTTGATGCGAGGTTCATGACCTGTGATCTCAGCCTGCAGAGCCTGGTGCTTCTTCAGCAGGTTCTGGACACCAATCAGGTCCTTCCCTGAGGACACATGTTAGAGTTCAGCATTATGCAGTAGACAGACCAGTTTAACCCAGGGGTTTCTTTCTTCTACAATCTGCTCTTTAACTGTATTCTTTCCTGCTATTTCAGCTGTTAACTTTATTTTTTCTCTAAGTGTTTTTCTCCCCAGAAGAAGCTACAATGACGTTCTGCTGAGCTGTGGTGGCCTCATGGAGGGGGCCATCGGCTAGCACACTGCTGCTAACCACTTAAACATTCTCCCTCTCCTGATAGTAACATTTTACTTTCTTTGATGTTGGATGTGCTACTGCTAGTTTACCCATTTAATTATAGATTCACTAGGATAAATACAATAAAGTTTATCTCTCGCCAAATAGAATATTTACTGTGGCGAGCCTGTGAAGAGGTGTAGGAGAATGCGACAAATTTGTCTGTTAAAAAGTCTGTTATATACAAAAAACACAATATCATCACACTATTTTGGACCGATACATGACGGTCAGGTCCGGCTTGGGGAGAAAATATGACACGTCTTTCAGGATGGACTTCATCTTTGGTAGCTGGCGAAGCCGGGAAAAGCAGGATCTAACCACCTGGCTAATGTGGGAGTCCATCCGCATCTCTGGGTCCAAAACCACCCCCAGGTTAGTGATGGTTGGCTTCACTAAGCTGCAAAAACAGGGTTGCAGGACAGGACTAACTGCAGTGGGAGAGGGAGGAACAAATATTCCAGTTATAAATATTAAATATTTGAACAAATAAATATTTGTTAAAAGGAAGAAACTGATGATGACTTTAAGATTAGAGGAATGTTCTAGAACGGGTCTGGAACCAACGATGGCCCTTTGGATCAAATTTGGATTAAAAAAATAGCTCATGATTTTATTTATGGATGGAATAAAAATACAGGTTGTAAGCATCTTCTCAGTATCTTCATGTTGCACGACTTTCCACAGCAGAAGGACACAAAAACTGCCAGAATTTTGATATGAAAGATTTACGTTTTAATCTCAGAATCCCAACTTTTCCCAGAATCTTCACATTATTCTATGAATTCAGAGAAAATATACATTTTTCAGAGGTCTCGCTCCCCTGTTGTGGATATTTCTCAAAATTCAACCATTTTTTCTTTTCAAAAGCTTTAGTAAGAGTTTGGACTCTAAACAAGTTTTACTTTGCAGACTGCTTGTCTACACCTTCATCAGATCTGCTCATAATAAAACATTTGGGTTATATTTAATGCCCAGGAAGATGCTCTTCCTGGGCATTAAGTTATCAAAAACAGATAAAAGTATTTTTACCATAATTTTAACTGCTATCAGCTGATAAAAATAATAAAAAACAGCCTGATCATTAAAGGGGTGTAAGTGAAACCGCGCGGATCACACAAACCATCATGCTGTCTATATGACTTTGAAAATATATAGTTTAATTACAGTTTGATTTATTTGACATCTGTATAATGTTTATTATTTTGTTTTTTCCCCCTAAATGCCTAACGTTTTAGTTTTACATGAATATTAGTCATTCATCACAATACATAAAGTTACACATTTTAAATTTTAATAGGGGAAGACTGCAGGAGGGAGCGGTAAAATACAGAAATCCCCAGCAAAAACAAGAAACTTTACGAGTCTGATGAAACCCGCTGGAGTTCCTTCAGCAGGCCTGGTGGCAGCTACAACGACCCAGTGGCTGTGCTTGGTCAATGTTATCGAGCTCAGTCCGGCTCGGCCGTGAACGAGCCGAGGCGACATCCTGCTCTGCTTAAGAAGAGGTGTTATTTTCCGCTTCAGAAGAAGCGTCCGTGTTTTACGCTTTCTCAGAGACATGTCACGTTGCTAAGTTGTTAGCGCCGCGCGCTAACACGTCAATAGTGCAGCATAGCCTGCTCGAGGTTTTAAGGGTTCAGATGAAAACACCCTACCACTCAGGGCACTTACACATCGATATTAAGTTGTCGCTGTTGCGCTCACGCCGTAATACAGTATTAGATGCGGTTAAAGTCAGACATGAAAAACTCCATGAGCGGTCAGACCGCGCAGCAAGTAGGCGCCGGATCGGTCAGGCTGCCCGGCCTGACCGCTGGGGATTACCGGATGGAAGAATGGACACAGAAGTCTCCCTCTTAGCGCTCCGTCATATTTCAACCCATTTTTATCTTAAATGCACTGGGTTTTACCCTATTACCCATCTAAATATGCCCTATTAATTATTTTACCGTATTTTACATTTAAATTTCATGGTTAAACAGTACATGCTACATGTTAAACTGATAGTTAGCTAGCTACTTCGGTAAACTCAGCTAGTTTAAAGGTGGCAGTGACATAAAATACGAATATAGATTTTAACTTACCGAAAAAAATGAAGTGGAGACTCCTTGGACGCTCTATTAGTGCAATTAATACCACTGCAAGTCATTTTGTCCAACAATTGCACCAATAATATCCAAAGAAGAATACACAAACACAGAGACTCAAAATGCCGGAGCAGTTTCCAAGCCAGACCGAGGCTGTACTGAGGCCTTTCCACGGAGCTAGCTCTGTGGTCACGTGGGTCTGAGGCGGCGGTCACGTGTGTCGGATGCTCATTAATTATACAGAATTTTAGGCTTTCAATACACTTAAACAGAAGAGTGAGAAAAAAATTCACCCCCCTCAGAGTTGTCATGAGTATAAACTAGATAATTTAGACAAAAAACATGTTTTGGTACCAGGCTGTAAACATGTTTATTTCTGCTGTGAAATCGGCATTTTTAACATGGGAGTCAATGAGGATTTGCTCGCTTCTGGCACCAGCCCCCAGCGGATGAGGGTGGAACTGCAATTTTTCTTACTTCTGGGATGGGACCATTTTTAGAGCGGCATTGTGGGGGCTTGGTCTTAACTCAGAAATCAATAACTTCTGGAAGGAGTTTTTCGTCAGCTAGTTACAGCCCTTAAAACACACTTTTTCAGTATTGCCTTCCCTCCGTAACACTTTACATGAAAATCCAGCACCGGGTTTATTTATCTTAATTTAGTTTTTATGATTCAGTAGCTCACTTTTAACACCTTGCACCATCTTGTAGCTTTTTTGGTTTTATTTGTGCCGTTTCAAATGGTTTTTATCATTCGACATATAATTTTTATTTTTGAAACTGCTGTTAACGGTTCTCTTATTCTATTGTTTTAGTAAGAATTTTTATCCTTGATTATTTATGCTATGTTTTAATGTATTTTACCTGATTTTCATGCTTTCATTGAGTTTTGTTGATTTGTTCAAGCATTTGGCTCTTTTATGTACAGCACTTTGGTTAGCTGCCATGATTTTTTGAAATGGTGCTTTATAAATAAATTGGCATGGTATGGTATTGTCGTTTAAAGCTGCAATGGCAAATTTAGAAAGCTTAAAACACTTTTTCATGCCTCTTAATGACGTTCTAACATAGTGTAGCTATAAATATATTGTGGAGATTGAAAAAAAATGAAATGAGTGGTTTTGTCGCATTTGTCTAAAAACTTCCACCAATAACACGTTTCTAACCGAAACCAACTATCTGGTTGTTGATCTCGCCAAACCGCCGCACTTCCGTGGGTCCTCCACTCATTACACACTCACGTATTTAGCAACAGAACACCACTAGTGTGACAGGTTTTCAGCTCAATAACATCAGTGAAGGAGAAACAGCTGGCTGCTACCGCTTCAACTGTAGGACAAAAAAGAAAATCACCATTTGAAGTCACGGACAAAAAAAGACGTTTGGACCTAGAAAATGGTGTTTAGCATTATCTCGTTTACTCTGGCATTGTGGGTGTCTGGTTGCGGCAGAAGCGTCTCAAACTAAGAAACATTTCCACAGAACCTTACTGCAAAGTGTCCAGGGATGGGAACCGAATTTGGTACTTTTTAAGGTACCGACCGAATTCCACAGTACAGACTGAGCACCGATTCACTTCATTTCAAACGGTGCCTTGTTTCGGTACCCGTCCTTCATAATGAGAACATGCCTAGACAGCTGCGCATGCGCAAGAGCGTTACGTCGTCGGTCGCTGCGAGCCAGTTGTAAACAGAGCAGCATGGTAGGAAGAACGCACGCTAAAGCTTGGGTCCACTTCACTAAATGTGATGGGTAACTGGGTGATGATGAAACCAGCGACAACGATCTAAGTGAGACATCCTCATCTTAATCTGATCCGGTAGGTAAGTCAAATGTTTAAGCTAACGTTAGCTTGATATGTTTGCTTCCGTTTCACTAATGGTGCATTCGCTTTCTCCTCAGAAATCGGAATTTCCAACTAGAAGAACATGAACGCGCTCTAAAGTTTGGCTTCACTTTACTAAATGCGACGGGTGATTGGGTGAAGATGAAACCAGTGACAACGATTTAAGTGTGAGACATCATCGTTTTAATCTGCTCCAGCAGTTAAACTGTTTAAGATAACATTAGCTTGATATGTTAGCTTCTTATGCCACCATTGTTATCATCTAATGGTGCGTTCGCTTTCTCCTCGGAAATTCTAACTTCCCAGTAGGAAAAATCAAAGAAATAGGACGGCAAAAGGAATGAAGATACACAGTAAATTTAGTTCACAGTAAAGATGTTTGCTTCAGTTTAATTATCAGCTTATAAAACTACAAGGACAATGTTAAAATACAAACAGTTGTATGTTATTTTTCGTGATATTTATCAAATATGGTTATATATTGAGAAAAATATATATTTAATTATAAAAGAGAATTAAAATATTAAACACTCAAAAGTATCGAAAACTGGTACCGTTAAGTACCGGTATCTATTCCTAGGTACCGGGAATAAGTACCTAATCGATTCAAATGTCAAAGGTACCCATCCCTAGTTGTATGAACTATACCTTTAAAATGTTATATTTTCTTGGAAGTAAATTAGCGCTCATTTACAATTTATTACAGTCTAATGTTTTTTTTTACATAATTCTTCAATTGAAAAATGTATGCATCAACTGTCATTTGCCGTTAATAATGCCAGTAGCCAGTAATGATGAGGTATTTTACCAAGTTCTAATAAAGTATTTGTTATCATAAACTTGAATCCCATCTTATTTTGTAATAAATTATTCCTGTGATTTATTCACCCTTTGGTTTTTGTGCAGGCCAGAACACTGAGCTTTCCTTAAAAGCCTTGGCAGCCTTTACAAGGCCCCTTACAAACAGATTATCATCTATCCACAGAGGTGAGGCAATCATGCCTCTCTAAGACAGATTGCTCTGTTAAGGTGCTCCATAATTTAATATCCTCCTCGTTCCTCACCTTCCTTCCTTCTTCCCCTCCTTCCCTCCCTCCATCAGGCTGGCAAAGTCAGGCTGAGTTCCTCAAAATGTATTAAATTATGACGTGTCACGAAAATAATTCTCTCTCCGGAGAATGAATCACATGACGGATGTTTCCCTGAGCTTACCTTTGACATGCTGTATGCACATAGCTGGGTAATACATTAAAGTTAGCTTCAAGTTCCTTAAATTATTGTACCTGGCCCCATTTTCCATCTTCTATCAGCAATTAGTTTACAGAGACAAGTGCACACTAATGCTAAACGGAGGCTCGGAGGAGGGAGGGGTGCTGTCAAACTGGCCTGTTAGTCTCTCTAAAAGAGTTTTGTTGAGTGTGTGAGAAATGAATGAATCGGAGAGGTGGGGGTGGGCGGGACTTTAGTTTCAAGGTAGCAACACCACATCAGCGAAATGGCTTGTTGGTGCACTCTAATGTTGTACTTTTAAAAATGTATGCACAGAATTTGAATGAATTCTATTTTTTAAACACCAACATTTATTATTTAGCCTTTTATTTATTTATTTTCTAATTAATATTTCACACTCTAATCTTATTAACAGGATGGTGTTGGAGGAGTTTGCCACACAACACATTTTCCCTGACTTGAGTTTAGCTGCGTGAAATACATTCTGGTGTGGGGAATCACTCCAAAAGCAGCAACACAAGTCCAGATCTCCATCGAGTTATGCTTTTCCAATAGGAAAATCAAGTAAAGTGCATTGTGCAACACTAACAGACAAGTCATGATCATTATAGCTATAGTTAACTAAAGTCATGCTGTAGCCTTCTTTTGTTGAAATGTATCCCCACCTCTGACTTGCAGACAAAGGCCCTCTCTCAATATGTGTACTTGTCAGTACTTGGGTACTCACGTCCTTCACGTCATCAACAATAGCCCAAGTACTGTTCCAGTCCTAAGTACGCATCATGGCAAATTTGCTCAAATTTCCCAGATGTGTTCTTGCTCCGCCCATTGCATCCTTCTGTAGACTTGGGACAGCAAAGTATCCCACACAGTGTTGCCAACTCAGCGACTTTGTCACTGTTCCTAACGACTTTTTGACCCCCCTCAACGACTTTTTTTCCAAAAAGCGCCTAGCGACAAACTTAGCGACATTTCTCAGGACCCGTTGCTACTTTCTGTAGAACTTTCATGTAGATATTCCCCACAGATTAGCAACAAATAAACCGTTTGCACTCTGAACCGTTCTTCCGGGAGTAAGGAAAGAGAACGATAATCTGCGCATGTGCACGAGGACTGACCAATCATAAACCGTTTTCGGCCGGTCTGATTCGCTGAAGACAGTACAGCTGCAGAGCTGGAGACCGCCGATTTACGTCTGCTGCTTTCATATTGCTGCAGGCTCACGCTTCTACTAGAGACGGCGCGGGCGTCAACCTGCCATCTCTGGTTCTGCAGCCGTCAGACACTTTGGTTTTTCCTGCATTTGGCAAATACAGTCATCGGGAGTTTCAACTACCGTCCCGTTTACACACGCAGCTCTGTGGCTCATCTGAATTTCCTTCAGTGACACAGGGATGGTTATACTTTGAGACACCCGCTCCCTTTTGCTCGGTGCGCCGTTATTATCACGATGGAGAGAATACACAACAGAGAAGTTGAGAAACTATGAGATGTAAAAAAACAGCTTTTTAGGAAAATGTCTGTGACAATGAGGAGAGCAGGAGGTCTGAGTTATATCCTACAACAGAACTGTTTGGATCACCACACCATATCTGTCTTAATGCCACTTTATTGGTAGTTTTGGAATTTATTGTACATATCAAAGCAATTTGGGCCATTTTAATCATACTAATTAATAACTTTAACATATAACATAGTTTTTATTTTCCTCCCTTTTAGTCCTATTATATATAAATAAATATAAATATATATATATATATATATATATATATATATATATATATATATATATCAGATGCTATGGGGAAAACGAACGCTAATGTGGCGTGATGACGTCATCAATATGTAAATTAGCACGTGGAGTCATCTGGCGACATCTAGTGACTTTTGGGGGGAACTTCAGCTACTTTCAGTCAAAAACAGTTGGCAACACTGATCCCACAGTGCATTGTGCTGCTAACCCTGAACGTCAGAGGAGAAAGCTTATAACTGCAGGGTTTTATATCAGAAATACTATCAAGTTGTCTGATATTGTAAATAAATGTGTGTAGCCTGTAAATTTTTTTGTGTGAATTTAGGTTTTACTCTTCATGATCTCTCAAAATATTAGCTAACCCACTATTAAAATAAAATCAGCGTAGCTCTGTTTTGATGGGATCTGTTTTTGTGGGAAAAGCTGGTATTTTACTAGCTTTGACCAAATATTATGCAAATAACATGATTACGTTGTTATTTTGCTATTTAAAGTGACAATGTGTAGTTTTTACCATTATTCTCTGGAAATATCCATCAAAATGATGATGATGCCCAGAGTTTGGAAAATATTGGGAGTTTCACAACATATAACCATCAAAATCTGTTCTAATGTGGCAAGGTGGAGTAACGAGGGCCCGGGTGGGATTCAATCCCCACACTCCCGGGTGACAGTCATACGCTCTAACCAGTCAG